ATGTGTCCGCTTCATGTTTCCCAGAACCCGTTCCACCAGGTGACAGAAGTTTCCTCCAGCATTTGGCAACCGCCATCGAGTCTGCTTGCTGCTGCTGGTGGCCCTTGGCTCCCAGGAGGTGCCCACCTCGTTGGGAGCATTTCCGCCTCTGCCCCCATGCCCCTGGGCTGGGCTCCCCAAGAGAACCGCTGCACGAGTCCCAGGCCACCGACTTGGTCCAGGAGTGGACGTCTCCCTGTTTTTCTACCACCTCTGAATGGGCCGGGTTTTTGTTTCGGTTTCCGGAGTTTGACAAGGTGGCTGAGTCCCCTGGTGTGGATTCTCAACACTGAAGCTGCCCTCCGTCCCCAGCGGCAACCTTTCCCCCTTCATCCACTTCAGTGTTCTCGCTCTCTCTCCGGATGCTCTTTCCTGTCTACTCCTCCGCCCTTCGGCCCAAGTCAGCGCGGGCCACTTGAGTGGCGATAACCCGGGAGCCCAGGACCAGTTCCCTCTGCTTCTGCGGGCCCAGGACGCGCTCACCAGCCCCGGGCGGAGCCCCGCAGACCTGCCATCAACACCACTGCAGGTGTCTTGTAACCTACGGCCTCAGCCCTGTTTACATTCCTCACAGCATAAACCCACATCGCCCGGGTGAAGGTGAAGTGTTAGCTACGTACACTTCTGAGCCAAAGGGTCTGCAAATAGTTGTGAGACAGACTCAACAACACAGCCCTCTCCAGGGCCGTTTCTCTGTGTGTGTGTGTGTGTGCGCGCGCGTGTGTCACTTCAAGTTGAAAGGAAAAGCCTTCCCACCCACTGGAGGTGCTGGTCCTTACGCCATGAAACAGGAAAGCCAGGGGTTGTAGAAAGAGGGAAAAGGCCTTGTTGGCTGTGTGCTGTTGTTTATAGTCCAGCACCTTGGAGCCTTGAAGCAAACTGTGCTCATAACTCAGGCCAGCGGCATCTCCTTGAGCCCTGGGAGTTCCCCCGACACCTCCCCGGGGCCGAGCACCACACGCCCTGATGGGCACTTAGGGACGAAATGGGCCTGGGGCCCGATGTCGCCCGCGAGATGCCTCATGACACACTCAGCTGCGGGGCACGCACAGGCTCCCTGGCACCTCTCGGAGGCCGACGCTGCTGCCAATTTGCTTACATGGGGGACAGCCTGTCCCCAAGTGCCCATCAGGAGATGAGTGGATAACAGCTGGGGCGCATTTAGACCATGGAGCACTACTCGGCCTGAGAGAATGGAATCTTGCCGTTTGGGACGACGCGGGTGGACCTGGAGGGCATTACACTAAGGGAAATAAGTCAGAGAAAGACAAGTACCGTATGATTCCACTTAGTGTGGACTCTGAAGAGCAAAGGGAAGGGGCGAGCAGAACAGACGCTCAGAGGGCGTTCTGGGGGGGCGCGGGGCACTGGGTGGGAAGGTGAAGGGCTGGGGTCCCAGGTGGGTGCTTACAGAACAGTCACGGGGGGAGCGCAGCACAGGAAATTAGTCAATAACATCAGGACAACTGTGTGGGGCCAGGAGGGGGCCTGAAATACCGGGGGCAAGCCTTTGTAGGGTGTGTGACTGTCCAGCCACTAGGCCGCACACCCTGAACTAACACAGAACAACACTGAACTGAACTGTGGCTGGAGAAGAGTCAAGTGAGAAGCGTGAACACCAGGACGCTCACCTGTGCGGACCGCGACGGGCCGAGAACCGAGTCTCCGCGACCGAACTGTCCGGGAGCCGCGGGGAGCCTGCCGGCTGGCTCGTTTTCGGGGTGAAGGCCCGCCGGCGGGGACCCGCACAGCGCAGGCCCACGGGACGCTCCTCAACCGCCCCCTGAAGGCGGCGAGCGGGCGCACGTGGCCCCCCACCCGCCGCCCAACCTGCGCGCGTCCCCCGGGGCCTCCGTGGCACCTGCCCGCCGCGTGCGGCCCGCAGCGCAGCCCGTCTTTCTGATCGCGCGGCTTTCTGATCGCGCCTCTGAGATGGGCCGCGGGGCGCTTCATTCACGGTGACACCTGGTCGTGGACTGTCCATGAGCCCCGGGGGGGAGGGGAGGGGAGGGGGGAGGGGGAGGGGCGGCACAGCCAGGGGACAGACAACAGGGTGGGAGGCCGCAGGGGGCGGAGCGGGCAGGAGGGGTCACGGGAAAAGGGTGGGGGGACACCTGTAATACATTCAACAATAAAGATAAGTTTAAAACAAAACACAACAAAAAACCCCAGGAGTAAAAGTCCACTAAAATGGAACCAGAATGAACAGAACATTTTTCTCGGGTCACATGGCCCCGATTTCGCCTCAAGAACGACTTTTCCTCGGAGGACAAACTGGCTCGACCAGCACTTTACAGAGCCCACGCCGCCTACCTGTTGATGAGCCGATCATCAGACCCGGAGGTTAAGTAGCTTTCACTAAATTTGAAGTGGATAAAAATGGAATTCAATGGCAAAGAAAAAATCTCGAATCATTTACTTAAATTTGACAACCACCCCAACTTTTTAAACTTTGGTAATAAAATCAGTTTATTTCATTAGCTTTATTCATTTAAATGGCACACACCTGTAACTCCCAAGATACTGTTAAAAACACTACCTAAAATAATACATATAAACCCAAACAAATAAAAAAAGAACCTGAAAGTATGATTACCTATTATGCATTTACTAGTTCTATACACACCTATTACACATTTTCCATTTTTCCTTATCGCACCAGACTGAAATAAATACCATGCTGGGGTCAACGTATGAATGGGCCAGAACATTCAGGACATAGCATTTCAAAACCTGTAACTCAGATCTTGACTTAAATTCAGTCATGTCTCCCCCTTTTTACTTCTAAAGTGAATATACTCTTGTTAGGAATAACCAGTTGAATTTCAAACCCAAGTGATGAACCAAGACTCAGTCTAACATTAAGGCTAATGTAACTAAACTTACTCTTCATGGCTGCTTTCCCGTGGACCAGCTTTTTCGTGGTTGCATTTGTAACATTGTAAAATACACCATTAGTCACCAAGAATTTTATGAACTAACCTGGTGAACAAGGTACTTGATGGAGTGGCACTCTGCTTCCGGCCACGTGGGCACCCACAAAACGGAACTGTTACACAGGAAGAAATATGCCAGCTCAAGACCCCCTTCCCACCCCCACCCTCCAAGAAAGAACAATGTCATCGCTTTCATTTTGTTAGGAGTCACAAAATTTATTTAGGAAAAAATATTTCCTTCAATGTTTATTAGATAATGAATTTTATTTAAATAATTTTAACTTTTCGGTGTAGACCAATTAAAAAGTATGCCCCTTTCCTTCCATAAGCAAACTCTAGGTCTGCATGGCAGATAAGAAATTAACACTTTACTTCCTTCTACCTTGAAAATTACCAAGTTTCCCTCCTTGTGAATTAGCTATTTCTGTATGGATTGTTGTCATGCTGCTGTTAAAAAAAAAAAAGTCAGTGAAGGATACGGACACATGGGAAACAAATCATAAACTATAATACTAGTCTATAATGAAATATATTAAACATTGTTTAAATATTAAACAGCAAAATACTCCTATATTAAATAAATAAAACTTGAATTTGTCATGTGGAACCATAGGCCAATACCACCATAACAGGGATGGACTAGTGCAAAGGGCAATTAAAAAAAAAAAAAAAAAAAGGAAAAGAAAATACATTTAATACTGGTATTGTTTTCAGTTACAAATTAAACCAGTGATTCTCAATCCTTTCTGAACCTGAACAACTTTTTAAAAATACTGATGACCAGGTCTCATCCCACACAAATTAAATAGAATCAGAATTCAGGCAGCAGTGTTTTCGAAATGATTCGACCTGCGGTCGAGGCTGGACGACTGCAAACCTACATGCTCCTCACTGTCACCTGCCTCAGAGTGTCCACTGAGTAATGACATGGGGCATTCTGCCACCAGCGGGACAGACAAGGGGCCTCCTGCTAACGGTAACTTACGGGTAAGCCAAGTTTATGAACGGGTATTTTCATTTCCATTACTGTATCTTCATACGCCTCTTCTTTCCCTGTAATTCTGTATTTTCAAACTCCAAGACCAAGTACAAAATGCCTCCCAGATAAATCAGTTACACTGAAAACACATCGCTGATTCACGTCCGTAAATGCCGAGTGCCTCCCACGTGCAAGGCACTGTGATAGGTGCTGCCACAGGACTTGGAGTCGTGAGAGAATGAACAGTGATTGGCTGAGAGTTCGTTTTGTTTTCTTTGTTTGATTAGAATGGCTATGAATTAATTATATGGACAAAGAAAAGAAGTACATACTGAGGGGTCTGACTTGAACATAGACATGGCATAGCATATTTGTACTTTTCCTAATGTTCCTTACAGTATTTCCAGAAGCCTTTGGATACATATAAGGCAAATTCAAGATAGAAAAATAAATCCTGTTTAAAGTAGATGTTCCCAATTTTAACCACACTCTGTATCAAGTAAATTTCATACATAAGTATAAATACTAAAAATCTTTATAGAAAGGTAGTTCATGTCCACTTGTAGTAGTCTTAACAAGTAATCTTACATTAAAATATTACAGATTCTAGACCTTGACTATTTATTTCATTATGGAGAAAGTTTATACAATACATAATTTATTCTGGAAACAGACTTATATGCTCAGATATCCTAATGTGAACAAATTAAAAGTTTTCTTTTATTTTCAAGAGAGGATGCAGACAGAGAAGGGGGAGCAAAATCTGTTCAAACCTTATAAATATCCTAAAATCTAATAATTTTAAATGCTGACTGCTTTTCTTCTGAAAAACCTAGTGAATTCCATATGAATAAGTACTTTTCTATTCTCTATTGGTATGGATTTTCATGGTTAATTAAAGAATAAATAAGTGCTTCTCATTTTTATGATAGCATTAAGTTTCAAAATGAGGCTAGGTAATGTCAACTGAACATAAGGAGTTAAATGTTTACCAAAAAATGTTAACCTAAGAGAGATCATGGGGGGGTGGGGGGGGGGCAGGAATGATCAGCAACGATTTTAATGGTAACAACTCTTTAGGGAAATAATGGTTGCAAGTTGCTTTTAAGTAGTAAAAGGTGAAATTAAGACTCAAAGGAAATGCTCATTCATTGTACCATGGATGCAACACTCTGTCTAAAGTAGAGAAGTAGTAAAATATTTTACTAAGTTAAAATATAGGTTTTATATTTCATACGATATTGAATACGCACATAAAAATACCAGTGTTTTTATCTTGTTTCTGTTCAGACACTTACTTAAGCAAATGTGTTCTTTGGTGCCTGGGAGAATTTAACAATATTTAGGGATAATGGAAGGTAAGGACTCCAGGGTCAACATGCCTAGAAACAGAAGACTCAAAATCCCATATCCTGCCAGTTAAGAATCAGAGGTGGATTTAGGAGAAAAGACAGGAAGTTCAAACTACACTGCAGTAGGACTAATACATGTCCTTCCCCCAAGTCATACTCTGGCTCCCAAAATAAAAAGTACTGTAGCCTACTGGGTTTTCAGTCTGTGTTTTGAGATTTTTCAAGTGGAAAGATATCACAGATAGAAATATATCCTTCTAGGTTTTAAAATCACCAAAGTCAGTGAGAAGAATGTACATTCATTAAATGGATCCAGTAAAAGTGAAGAAGTCCGGAAAAGGCTGAACAGTTCAACCACAGCCGAAGAACTGTTCTTGATTTTCATTATTCCTTTCCACATAAAGAGTAAGTACAGACATGGTGTACATACAGGTTGACATTCTGACTCATTCAAAATAGTCACATCCCTTTGCTTGGTTCTGCAAGTTCCAGAAACTAAAATTTAATACCATTCGTAACACAGTATTTTCAGTAGAGGAATCATAGAGCAATGAAACTCAGAAGCAGAATGGCTGAGAGCCTTATCACCTCTAAATATACACACATCAACAACCTGTATTTATTTGCTAAAGAAACACATTTTAAGTAATGCTAGTTTAACCAATGAAGAAAAAACTTCTATCAAAATATACAATTTCCATTACAGACTAGAAGGCTAATATTAAAAAAATAGTTGTAGGCCAGAACGGCTGCTTATATGAATGTCAGGCATCATCCCTTCGGAGCATGAAAGCGTCGAACGAGGCGTGTCGCTCCGTCTGTGACCTTTCTCATTGCCAGTTTCTGATAAATTCATCAAGCTGAGTCTGAGCCCGCCTTCAGCCCCGGCGGGGCCGCGCTGCTCCATCCAGACCCCAGAGGGAGCCACGGAATCAGAATCGCAAGTGGGACTTATGCTTCACCATGTACCTGAAAAATAACATTGTAAGTTATAACATCTGTAAGAATTTTAGAATTTTTAGATTATATGTAAAAATAAGTTGACTTTTCAAAAACGTAGAATCACCAGTGAACAGGCTACCTTACCCTCTGGAAACTCGCGTGGTGGCCTTGGAGACAGACTTTGTAAAGAGCCAGAAGGAACACTCCCCTCGTTCACGTCCCTAAGGGCGTCTGGCTACATTCTTAGTGTGTCTCTTTAATATATTATCAGCCATAATCACTGGGTTACCACCATCACCTCTGACTTTGAGGAAACCCATAATAATCAGTGGGGTATTTAGACCAAGAAAGTTAGATTTTAAGGGGTGCCTCAAAGAAAATACTAGATTCGGTGGTATTAACTGTGATTATATGATGTTAAATTTTCCAATCACAAACCTTACATTGTAGTAAAGGACTAGTCACTAATAATTCGATATTAGTAATTAAAATAAATTTAAAACTAAATTGCTGTCATGGGACACCACAGCTCAAACCCAGAGTCAGAGACCTTTCTGTGCAGGGAGACGCAGGGCACACGGAGTCCCCGCTCCGTGCACGGACAGAGCACTGCTCAGAGGGGGCACGCAGCCCCAGCCACACCCCAGGACCCAGACGACATCCAGGTCTTCCGGCTCGGAGGCCAGTGTGCTTCCTACTGAGTTAGGAGCCTTTCTCTATCTGTTTCTAAAGTCTATCACAGTAAATTACCTACTGCAGACCAGCCTCAAGTCAGACGCGGTTTGAAAGGGGAACTGGGAGACCTGGTTCACACCCTGAAAGAGCTTCGCGTCTGACCGGGGAGACAGGCCGACGGCCAGGGAAGCAGAAGGGAGCGCGTGTCAGGCCAGTTACCTGTCCAGCGTTTCCCAGAACCGTAAGAAAACAGGTCTGTCCAAGTGCCGCTTGTGGTAGCTGAGTTCCAATACCGTCACGTCCCACTTCTGCACGTTTGGATCGAGACGAGCTTCATCATATTTGAGATGGAAGGCTTTAACTATATGGGGGAAACAATATGTTTTTTATTCAAAATGCAATCAAAATTATTAATGTATTTTATAAAAAGTAAATAAAAATACCCAATAGACATTAGCCAAACAACAACAAAAAACCTAAACTAAAACACAAAACAGCCCTGGCCGGTTTGGCTCAGCGGTCAGAGCGTCAGCCTGCGGTCCAGAGAGACCTGGGTTCGGTTCCCGCTAAGGGCATGTACCTTGGTTGCAGTTTGTCCCCGGCCCTGGTTGGGTTGTGCGGGTGGCGGCCACTCGTTGTGTCCCTTTCACGTCGATGTTTCTTTCTCTCTTTCTCTCTTTCTCTCTCTCTCTCTCCCCCTCCCTCCCTCCCTCCCACTCTATCTAAACAAAAAAATGGAAAAATGTCCTCAGGTGAGGATTTAAAAAAAAAACACAAAACAAATTTTCTTCCACCAATCAAAGCTGCTATTATAACCAAAGTGATCTCTGAAATAGATGCTAAAAACTATGACATCCTCAAAAACATTCAATTCAACAAATATTTACTCAAGGTTTATACAGCCAGCCAACTGGGACTGAAATGGCGAATAAGATAAAATGCATATGGTCCCATGAGAAATGCAGTATGACAAATGCAGGGCATCACAGAAACACAGGAGCACCTCACCCAGACTATGGACTTCAGGAAAGGCTTGCATAAGCAGTGGCGTCTAACCTAAGACCTAAAGGTGGGGCAGGAGCTAGGCTGACACAACGGGGGTGGCCAGTCAGCAGTAAGAGCATGCTCAGAGAAACAGTTCACTCTCGAAGCAAAGAAAGCCGATGGCCCCACAGGCGACTGATCACGCAGGCGGTGAGACAGGTGGAGCAGTGCTGCCTGGAGGCACGCTGAGGCTCTGGCCTTCACCTAACAGACACAGGATCACTGCGAAGGCTCAGCGCAGAGTCACCGCACAACAGGGATCCACAGAGAGACAGATGCGACCGGCTGGGAAGGAGACGCACGTGCGACAAGAAGAACATCCAAGAGATAATTAGGGGTGAGAACTAATGGGACTTGGTAAGAAATGATAAAAAGGAGAAAAGGAAAAAGAAAAACCCCAAACAACAGAAAGCCTCTGAGGAGACCTAGAAGGAGGCGACTGAGGGTGCCCTCAGTGAACTTAGTGGAGCTGCCCTTCAGCATGTGCACATGGCATGGAGATGCTTAACTTTCTGTCCATTCTTCACTTTTCCTAACATAGGATATGGCTGTTACTCCCTCCATTATTATCCAGTATTAGGTGTATTTAAAGAGAACATGGCTAACTTTGTTTATTTCTGGTAGCTTTGTGGGTCGCGTGTCCCACACTGCTTGCTGGTTGGCTTACCGGCTGGCTTTTGATGTTAAAAACCAATCAAGGCCAAATTCTTGATGGAAATCCCAAATGAGTCATTTGTGCCCACACAGAAAAAAAGCACATAAACATTATTTCTAAATTATTTGTTTTTATAAATATTGGCCCTCTCATTGAACACATTACTCACTTTGAACTGAATTCAATTTAATGAATTGAAACGAATTCATCACAGGCTTTATGTTATGGTTTCAGGAAACCCATGTTCGAAATGCTTTTTATGTGTAAAAGATTTTTTTTAAGTTTTAAAATTAAAGAAATCAACATCTCAATACCTTCTATTGTTTACATGTTTCACTTTTCTAATTTTCTCAATATGATTGCTTTAAATCATTCTTAAAATCACATATTAGTTATATTCTAAAAGTGATTTACCTAAAACCACAAAAGCTTACAGTAAACAGTCCCCCTAATAATTTCAGTGGATTTAGTTTATATAATATTTATTTTTTTCCAACAGAAGAAACAACTTTGTAAATTAAAGCTGAAATATCAGGGGTCCAAAAAGTTTAAGCCACAATGAAGAAACATAAGGTTTTTCTCTTCATACAAAATATTTCATTAGCACGAAGTATTCGTGGCAAGAAAACTCATACGAGACGTGACCCAAAGCACCTTTCTCACTCAGAAGGACATCCGGGTTCCAAGCCTCAGCACAAAGTGAAGAGGAACGAAGTCTTATCACAAGAGGTCAGTTATCCGGCAGCACAGTAACGGCCAGAGCAGAATATTCTACACAGTCCAGAACTGTTCGTTTCCTGCAAACTGCATGCATTTTGAAAACAGATTTTTTGCGGGAACAGAGGCCAAAAAAAATTAGAACAGTGCTCTTGAATAGTATTTAGTGATAGAATGATGGCATGTCAAATGTTACAAATGGACAACATGGAACAATTCTTAAATGAAAAGTTTTTCTGAATGATAGGCAAGCAAAAATTTAAGAAATTATCATTTAAAAATCTTGATCACTAATGTAATCAGCCATCCCAAACATAAAAAATAAAAATTTAGAAAAGTGGTATCCAGTTACAAGCTCAAATTTCTCATAATTCTGAAAAGGTTTTATTTGGTAATTTTACACAATCTACTATTTAATATTTTCTCTAAAACTTTCTAGTTTATTACTATGCCATATACAGAAAAAATAGTTTTTTACGGAGGCCCACGCACATGCTCCCAATAGCCCAGGCGGCACAGCGCCCAGCTTGGATGAGGGGCGGGTGCAGCGGCAGCAGCAGGAGTGAACCAGCACGGAGACAATCAGAAGTGAGAGACAATACGACACACTCCCAGGTTTCTGGCTTAGGCAAATTACTTAAAAAATGAATTGGGGAAAAGACAGTTTGGGCCGAGGGAGAACACAGGGCAGGCAGCTCCACTCGGAACAGGCTGGGCCTGGGGCACCAAATGGGACCTCAACTCAAGGGAGTGACCTGGTCAGCAGTGAGACATGGAGGCCAGAGCGCCAAGCTGGAGACGTCACTTTCAGAACCAGAGGACACAGTTGGTGCTGGAAAGCCACGAGATCTCCTTGAAAGACTATGATGAGAGGAAGAGAGACGGGGACACAGAGCAGCTGAGAGCCGCAGGAAGAGCAGCTGGGGAAGCTGAGACAACAAAGCAGGTCATGGAGAAATAACTTCACAAAAATGTATTGATTGATTTGAAACAGAAAGGAGGAGAAAGCGGAGGGGGAACGTATCCACTCATCTACACATCCACTGGTCGATTCCTGTATGTCCCCTGACCAGGGACTGAACCCATGACCTTGGCAATCCTGAGAAGCAGTCCAATCAACAGAGCTACCCAGCCAGGGTGAAAATAACATTTTAAAAAGGAGAACATGTGGTCAACAGAGTCCTGATAAGGAGGTCAAAAGTACCCGATATTTGGGTCACGGTGAGTTTGGAGGGAATCAATCTTTCAGTGGAAGGCAAAGGAAGTGAGAACACCGTGGGTTAGGGCGGGGACAGAGGGGAGAGGACACCGTGGGTTAGGGCGGGGACAGAGGGGAGAGGACCCGGGGGGGTTAGGGCGGGGACAGAGGGGAGAGGACCCCGTGAGTTAGGGCTGGGACGGCGGGAAGTGAGTTGGTAGAGACAATTCTTTCAAAGCTCCGCAGCAAAAGCAGAGAGGAGGAGCCGGCAGGAAAGGCGAGGTCAGGGGGAGGTCTGTGTCATCCGCTGGCTCTAAGAGGGGGCAAGGGCACCCCCACTCGGTGCTGCCAGAGGAGTTGGGGCAAAAGGAGGAAGGGCAGGAGGCTAATTCAGGGAAGAAAATTATTACTAGTAATTACTTTTCAAAGTCTCTAAACTCTCCCCCAAATTTCAGAAACTAGCGATCTGGACAGACAACAGCTGAACACTCGGGGTCCTCATGGCACTGCACGAGCACCCCTGCCTGGCAGAGGCCTAGCCCCCCGACAGTGGTCAGCCTGCAGGGCGGCCGGGGGGCGCAGCGCTCCTGTTCACCCCAAGTCTCCTCACTGCATCTTTCCACCTCCTACTCTCACCTGTGCGCATCGCTCAAGTCTCAGAAGCAACAGAACAGGCTGCTCCCACGGCAGCATCCGCGCCCAGGTCGTCTCAGAGCACACGCTCCGTGAGAGCGCTTCCTAGGAAGTCGTGGTACCGCGCTCCTAACTGAGCTGGGCGCTCGAATTTAAATAACAATGGAAATGCCGCCCCAAAAGAAAACCAAAAAACCTCACACAAAAAACAAAAAAACAGGCTAAATTCATCTCCTTTTTATTGGCCAGTGTAGTGCTGAAGCGTGAGCCACATGAAGTCGTAGGTAGCAGATCCCCGAGCCCCCTGCACCAGGCTCCTCCGCGCTGGCCGGAGGACAGCAAAGCCTTCGGCCCGCCAGGAACCCTGAGCTCTAGGCAGGGAGACTCAGCACAGACAGAATCTGGCCATCAATTTTAATTAAAATGTGCAGACGAGCAACAATACTAGTGATTTTAAAACTGCCTAAAAAGTATTAATGTTGGGGAAACACATTATATTAAAAAAAAAAAAAAAAAAAGGCTTTAACACCCTGGCCGGTTGGGCTCAGCAGTTGGAGCGTCGGCCTGCGGTCCGGAGAGACCCGGGTTCGGTTCCCACTAAGGGCATGTACCTTGGTTGCAGTTTGTCCCCGGCCCTGGTTGGTCGTGCGGGTGGCAGCCACTCGATGTGTCCCTTTCACGTCGATGTTTCTCTCTCTCTTCCTCTCTCTCCCTCCCACTCTATCTGAACAAAATATTGAAAATGTCCTCAGGTGAGGGAAAAAAAAAGGCTTTAAAAATATTTCACATTAGCATGCTATATTAAAAATTGACATATATTAAAAATTGATATGTTACTTAACAGGAATCATTGGATATACACATCTCAAATGAAGAGACATAGATGGCTCTTTCTCTTAAATAAAGCAACAGTATCCCTATATTGGACAGCAGTAAAAAAAATAGAATCTTACTTTTAGCAAATATGTCAACTGGTGATCCATCAGGCAAAAGCCACGGCCAACCCTTGAACTGCCAGGCGGGACCCTGCACGAAAACAGCCACAACCCGGTCCCTGCAAACAGAAGGGGCGGAGAGAACAGGCGTGAGCTCCGGCTGCCGGGACCTCGAGGAACGGGTCCCCGCCACACTCTCAGGCTCCCCCGCACACAGCCACAACCTGTCACTGCCGTGGTGCCGCGAGAGCACGCGACGAGGCTGCACTTCCCGCGCGTCTGTTCGGCACCTACGTCTTCTAAAGAGTTAATTACACGCGCAATCGAACGGGTCACCTCAGCTTCCATCTCTGCCCTTCTGTGACCACAGTAAGGGCCGCTTTTCCAGGGCAACAGAGGACAGTAGCTGACTTACTGATCGAAAAAGTTGGTTTTAAAAGAAAATCATTTAAAATTCAAAACAAACATTAGATATTTTACTTCAATTTAAAAATGCTATACAGTCCTGGCCAGTTTGGCTCAGCAGTTAGAGCAGGTTTGGTTTCAGTCAAGGGCACGTACCTCAGTTGCAGTTCATCCCAGCCCTGGCCCTGGTCAGGGTCGTGGGGGAAGCAGTCAGTCGATGTGTCTCTCTCTCTCCTTCCCTCCCTCCCACTCTATCTGAAGATAAATGGAAAAATATCTTCAGGTGAGGATTAAAAAAATAATAAAAATGCTGTACATTACAGTAATTCACCAACCACTTTATAAAGCTAGCTGCAAGGCCTTATTTTTGAATTCTGATTATTTGGAAAGCAATCTGAGTAGAGAAATCATCTGGACTTTTTAAAGTTTTCCATTGTTTTATAACTGTTTCACTCACCATACATTCTATAAGTTTTTCTTAAAGCAATTTGTTTTTCCAACTATTTAAATTTATTTTCCTAAAAAGAACAATCTCTTTCTAGGTCCTCATATTTCATTAGTTTCAAAAATATGTAATTAATTGAGAAATTATAAGTACAACCACCACAAACAGTTTGAGCCCACGACCAAAGCAATGGGAACAAATCGTTAGGTGAACAGGAGTGAGTGTTACTGCGAGTTTACTCTGCGCAGTGCTGGTCTCAGGTTCACACGCCTTTGTTCTTTAACACAGTGCGTCTCCACAGTCCGCGGAGGTGAGAACTCCCTCTATTACCCCATTGAGAGAAGGAAACAGACATGTGTGGGCACACTAGCAACAGGGGAAGGGGGAGGAGTGGGGCGGAGACAGAAGTAATTAATCTTATACCCTGGCTGTACCACTCCTATCCGTGTGAGGACTGGTAAACCATGAGAACAGCCATCAGTATTATTATGGAAATGGCTTTGACTTTCCAACTTCTCGGAAAGGTCCTGGGAATGCCCAGAGGTCTACAGATAACCACTGCATTGGACGAAGACTCTGTATATCCAATGAAACATTAAACCTTCTATTTAAGTAAGAAACTTACAAGGATCAGTTACTGTGAAAAACCACAGCTTAAAACTCTTAACTTACTCAAAATCTCGAAGACTAAACTTATACCTTAAATAAAAAATTCCCTGCTCTCAAGGGGCATGTGCCATGTGGCCACAACCACTTTGGTAGCGGAGCGCACTGCTAGAGGGTTTCTTAGTTTACGGCGTGGCTGGCACTGTGCACTCGCTGCAAGCTCAGGTGCCCGCCGACTAAAAGGGTTTTGCTAAACAGAGGTGCTCTGAGCCCTACCCGGTCTCACTGGGCTGAGCTAGCAGGGCCACAGGATAATATAAATATGCCTCCCAGTGAATTCCTAAAAGGACCCTCAACAAAGAAGGGTAATATTATTCCTAGGCTAGGACACCACTGGCTAGGGACCTAGTGAATATTCACACGCAGCCTCTCATGACACAGATATGGCACCTGTACACGCTGCTGTATTCATTTTCTGCAAATAATACCAAACATGATACAAATGTAGCATTCCTACTTCCTACAAATTTTAAACTTGATACATGAAATTCTCATCTTATTCACTTCATACATCAGTCAATGTATCTCGGTTAGATACAGGGGAGAATTGTAACACAGGAACCCTTCATTCTTTAGTGAGTTTCTAACATCCTAATACTGCCAACGGCTGGACTTCCTAATGTCTGAAGACCAACAGGCACCTTGGAGGGAAATGTCACCTGCCGCATCGATGTGCCGTGTTCTAGGTCACACAATGGGATGCACTCTGAGACTGTATTTTTACTCCAGCTGAGATTAACAAAGTAACTGAAGATAATTCATGTGTCTTAAGTTATAAGTTCTTTATATTACACATAGCTCAGTGTTTTATTAAAGAACATTTTAATATAATAAAAGGGTAATCATGTTATTCTTTTTATTAAGTTATTCCCTTATAATAAATGTAACAATACCTTCAGTTATCACTTCTTACCAGAAAAATCTAAATTTTCCAAATCTAAAATCTAGAATATAAGTCCAAAACATTAGTCTGTTTGCAAGTTCTGATCTAAAAGCTGATCTAGAACCAATAAATGAGTAGAGATAATTTTTACTAATTTTTCCAGAAATCAGTGTTTCTTCTTATAAGTAAAATAAAGTTCAGCTACCCAAAACACAGATGTGGTCAGGTGTCACGGGAATGCACCACTGGAGACGAGTCAGGGGTGAGCACTGGTTTCTAACAGCCCTGTCTGTGCCCACGAGGGCGTCCCCGTGGCGGAGCGCGGGCGGCGCAGGGACCCAGGTGGCTCACCAGTCCTGAGGCGTGAGCTTCAGGGGCTGGTCCACGACTCTGTAGGGAACCGTGACGCTGAGCGCGGCGCCCCCCGGCTGCACCTGGTCTCGCCGCCTCTGTATCAGCGTCTCGTTCTCTCGCTGACAGCCCTGTTTCTTCTTCTCGTCTGACGGGACGAATCTGCGGACACGCAGAGCAGAGGTCAAATGACTCAATGTGATTGAAAATGGAAAAATAAATCATATTTTGAAATTATTTTTATATACTGAGTTTTAAACCAAAACCATTTGTTTATTTATTTTTAATCCTCACGCAAGGATACTTTTCCATTTATCTTCAGACAGAGTGGGAAGAAGGGAGAGAGGCAGAGAGAGAAACATCAACGAGAGGCGCATCGATTGTTTGGCCCCCGCACAACCCCTACCAGGGTCAGGGACTGAACCACAATCCACGGAGGAGCCCTTGACCAGAATCAAACCCACAGCTTGTTGGTCCTCGGCCCAACGCTCTAATCGCTGAGCCAAACCAGGGCCCAAACCATTTCGCTCTGAAACACTCCTGGCTCTGCACGCACAGACTGCCGGGCTCGAGGGCCACGGGTCTTTCCCAGTAGCCAAGGAGAACACAAGCTCACTTCAGCCCTGAGTCAGTATGCGTGTCTGTCTCCCACACAGACCACCTTCTCCAAGGCTACAAAGAAACCACACTCATCCCTGATTTCTCCAGTGCTATCAGAGAGAAATTTTATTATAAACTGACAGGTATCTTGAGACTGAGATGGTGTGGCTGGCGTGGCTTCTTCCAGCACAGGTGACTTAGCCAATCCAAGAACTTCACAGAAGACATCTTTTCATGGTTCATGCCTCAGCAAAATTAGGAAAACACCATCAAATTCCCAGATCGCTTTGCAAATTTTAAAGTAAGGAGATTAAATCAGTGAATGCCAACTGTCTGTTTTAGTAAATACTGCTTATAATTTAGTAAATGAACCAATCTTTCTAGTCTGATTCTCTACTACACCATCAACCTTATTCTCAAACACACTTCAGCAGTCTGCAGAGCTGCTGCCAACTCCAGGTGTGTTAGTGCTCACAGAGCATTTTCAAAAGTCTTTTAAAAACACATACAGCCCTGGCCAGTTTGGCTCAGCGGTTAGAGCGCCCGCCTGCGGTCCGGAGAGACCCGGGTTCGGTTCCCGCTAAGGGCATGTACCTTGGTTGCAGTTTGTCCCCAGCCCTGGTTGGTCGTGCGGGTGGCAGCCACTCGATGTGTCCCTTTCATGTTGATGTTTCTCTCTCTCTCTCTTCCTCCCACTCTATCTGAACAAAAAATGGAAAAATGTCCTCAGGTGAGGATTAAAAAAAAAAATGTCCTTGGGTGAGGATTAAAAAATACACACACACACACACACACACACACACACACACAACCTTTTAACAGTCCATTGGCATATTTTATGAGCTCTGGTCTGCCCTCCAATCAAAGGGGGCGATGCAATCGTACCCGAACAGCACTCCGCTTCTAGAGCTCAGGGCAGACCAAGGGGAGGGAGCAGCACGGCCCGCACGTGGTAGAGCCCTTTGGACATTTCCAATGCCTCCTGCTGGGCTCGTCATAAAGTGATGTGAATTTTGTAATCCTGAAAGTTGTAGTACATGGTGACTGTGTTAATACTGAACTACTTCTGGGCTATTTACACATCCACATCACATCTGATGGGGCAGTTAAGACTGCCATGTGATTTTAAAATTTTGCCCAGATAATTGTGTTACTGCCTTATGAATTCATTTATGAAAACTCGTCCACGAGAAAATACGGAGTGAGATCACTGCTCCAACTGGGAGTAAACGTATGCTTCCCAAGTTATCACACTGATGACCCCCTGCTTCCTTCGGTGTATTTCTGCACACACCCGACGACGTCATGATACAAAATGTACGCGCAGGGACGTAACAGATGAGTTTCACAAACGCACACTCAGCGGAGGAGCCGCTCCAATTGGGAGCAAGCACATCCACATCAGGCTGGGAGCTTCCCTGGGCCTTCAGGGGACCCCCAACCAGCAACCGCCCCTCTGCCTTCCATCGCCCAGGATCCGTTCCGCCTGCTCCAGGAGCGCACACCGGTGGAATGGCATGGGGTGTGCTCTTGGTCCCTGGCTTCTCTCACTTGTTGAAGGTTTTGAGGGTTCATCTAGGATGTGGGGCATACTGGTAGTTCACTCCTTTCTTTGCTGAGAAGAACTCTATTGTATGAATAGGCCATAATTTGTTCATACATTCTCCCACAATAGACATTTGGATAGTTTCAAAATTGGGGCGATGACAAGTAAAGCTACTACAAACATTCTTGTGTAAGTCTTTTTGCGGACATGTGCTTTCATGTCGTATAAACACCTACGCATGGAACTGCTGGGTCAGGGGCACGTTCACTGGGTGAGAAACTGTCGGGAAGCTGTTCGAAGTGTAAAGCACATCTTCAAGGCAGCTCCGCGCGAACCAGCAAGAAGCGGGTGCTGTGCCACCGGCAGTGAAGCGGGGAGCCCAGCGAAGCTGGAGCCCCGCCGAGCCCGCCCGTGGAGGGCGCTGCAGACACGTCGGTGCCCTCTGCTGTCCCCGGGCCCTGGAGCAGGGAAGGAGCCGTCTGCTCAGGGTGGGTCTCTCTCAGAAGTCCCTTCTCTCCTCAAGCTGGAGCTCTCGGGAGGGCACCTGACACCATGGAATAGAGCCGGTGCCCCAGCGCCTACCGCTTTTCCTACCCCCTCAACCTGTCACAACCAGCACCATGGCAACTGCAAGGAAAACCGAACCTCACAATGGTACGCTAGACCTCCCTTGGACTTGAAGCAAGAATGACAACCCTGACCCCGGTGGGTTCAGAACGAACATGTTATCCAAGCCAGGCCGACGAGACCTCACCCGGGCGTTCGTGCTGCAGTTACTGGGAAACAGGCGCTCTCTCTGTACAGTGACTGCTAACTTCGAGCTTCTAATAAGCACTTCATCCCTGAGGGGGGAGCCCGCCTGACAGATGGAGGGGCCAACCCGACGACCCCATCTCGGCGCTGAGCCCAGCTGTGCTCAAAGCCACAACTTTTCAGTTATGTTGAGCCAATAAACTAGTCTTTGATGAAGCTACTCTGAGTTGGTTTCTATCACTTACAACTAAAAGCATTCTTTTTTTTTTAATCCTCACCTGAGGATATTTTTCCATTTATCTTCAGAGTGTAAGGGAGGGGGAAAGAGAGAGAAAAACATCAACATGAGAGAGACATATCAACTGGTTGCTTCCCGCATGACCCGCCCAGGGCCGGGGACCGAACCACAACCTTGACCAGAGTGGAACCTGTGACTTTTCAGTCCGCTGGCCGATGCTCTAACCGCTGAGCCAAACCGGCCAGGCACAACTAAAAGCATTCTAACAAACACAACCCGCACTGTGCATCCGAGATGGTGGATGGACATGTGATTTGGAGAAATACTCTGATGTCCACTGAGTCGTGCGTTTAGTGTTGTCAAGTATCGACAGTTAATGCTGCTGAAGAACAGAATGTGCCTGCAGAGCATCATGCGCAGTGAAATCAGCCAGCCAGAGGAAGCCAGTGCCAAATGACCCCTCATAAATGGAGTCAAATGAACAAACTGCACTAGCAAACAAGTGCGACAGACTCACGGACACAGAAAACAGACTCCAGCTGTCGGAGGGGAGGGGTCGGGCTGGCTGAGAGGGGTGACAGGGTCAGGCAAAGAGAAAGAAAAGTCAGACTCACAGCCCCAGACAGCAGCATGGTGACTACCAGAGGGGAGGAAGTGGAGGAGGGTAAAGGGGGAGAAATGGTGAGGAAGGAGACTGGACCTGGGGTGGTGAACACACAATATACAAGTGATAATATTAGAAGCCTGTAACTGTATTAGCCAATGCCACCCCAATAATTTCAATAAAAATAGAGTAAAATGCAAATAAGGTACAGCTAGATAAGTTCCAGGCTTTGAGTTTATGTCATTTTAAAAACAGAACAAACCCTGGCCGGTGCTGGTTAGAGCACCAGCCCTTGCACTGAAGGGTCCTGGGTTCGAGTCTCGATCCAGGGCAGGAACGTGGGTTGCAGGCTTGCTCCCTGGCCCTGGGCGGGGCATGTGGGGGAGGCAGCCAATCATGCGCCTCCCTCGCGGCACCGGCTCCCCCACCTCGCGGGGACCTGTCCAGGTGCCTTCCTGGCACCGCTCCCAGACCCAGCAGACGCCAGGTGCAGACCTCGTCTGGGGCGCCCTCACCTACGCTCTGGAAATCAAAGAATTTCCAAGAAAAACAATTCCAAGGAAACAAGTAAATGAAGACGATGGAGACACTGACTGAGCTGGGAAACCACACAAGGAGACGGGTCCTGAGTGAGACAAGAGTCGAGAGATGACGACGGGCTCACTGCAACGCTCGGGGGTCAGAGCTCATCCAAAGTGTGCGGATCTGCAAAGGGGACAAAGTTACTTAAAAAGACCAAAAGTTTGAAAATGAACTAACAGAACCTTACAATTGAAAAATAAGACGTCTGGATTTTAAAATGCAGGGGACAGCCCTGGCTGGTTTGGCAGCAGGCAGAGCGACAGCCCACACCGAAGGGCTGCAGGTTCGATTCCGCTCAGGGCACGTACCTGGGTTGCAAGTTCAATCCCTGGCCCGGTCAGGTTCGTGTGGGAGGCAACCAACTGATGTGTCTCACGATGTTTGTCTCTCTCTCCCTCCCACCCTATTCAAAATCAATGAAAAATATCCTCAGGTGAGTAACAACAAATGCAGGAGACAGAGAAACGGACGGAAAGCAGAGCATCTGAGAGACACGGAAAGAGCACGAGGTCGTCAGCACATCGCACTCAAGTCCCAGAAAGAAAGGGCGACCTCAGGGCAGGGCCATGAACAGGGGTAAGAACCAGACCGATGACACCATCATGCCCAGTTCCAATCTGACGACTCCCAGAGCGGACATCTGAGAAAGCCACGCCTCGGGACAGACTTACAATGACCTTCCCAGGTCTGACTGCCCGTCCCCATCCCCGTCCCCGACAGGAGGCTGAAGGCCGTGGAATGAGTCACTGCCGTGAGGAACCGTGGCAGACTCCGCCCCGTGTCCCTCAGCGCTGCTGGGGCAGGACTCCTCAGGTCTAGCGTCAACCCCAGCACCTTCTTCCCCAGGGACCCTGCGTGCTCCGGGCCACCTGCTCTCGGACCCCTGCCCTGTGACTACCATCACAGCCACGATCACAATTGCCATCAATCGGTTTATTTTGAATAAAATTCCAGTCCCACAAAAATCTCTCTCAGAATCATGTTTATAAAATGTAAAATGTGCTTTTTACTTACTTCCATCTGTAACCTTAATTTTGTTACTTAGGATGTGAAAAGTTATGGTGGATTTTATTTTGCTTTGTTTCTTTCACTTACTGGAGAGCTAGAAAACTGCAGAAGCCTCAATTTTACATGAAACCAAACAGAACCCACGCCAATGTGAGCTGTGGGCCAGAGCTGGCCGGTAATTGTGAGGAGGAGGTTCCTTCACCCAGGAGCCCCACAGCGAGGCCTCCAGCTGCCTAACCGTGGGGGTGTCAGGTCAATGAGGTGCTGAACAATGAAGGGAGTGTTTCGGACCCAGAAGAAGGATTAGGCACGGTGTGTCCTAAGGACGTGGTCTGCGAGCTGCTGGCTGCGTCGCAGGGTGGCAAAGGAGACACTGAAATTCACTTTGTGGTTTCTCTGCACTATTTGCTAAAAGAATATTTAAGTATTAAATTTGTAATATATTCAGGGGCCCCACGAAGATTCAGAGAATGAAAAATTAAGGACAGAATTCCTATTATAACATTTCAAAAACTTACTGTAAGTTTTCTGTAATCATTCAGACACATTTATCAAAAATACAGTTGTCAATGATAAAAATCATAACTGTAAATACCAAATTCACAAGTCACAAAAATCCAACAGCGGTAAAGATCCAAATACATGAAGTGCAAAAAACCCAATACCAAGAACAATGACCCTTCATGGGAACTGAAACCAAGCCCCACAGGTGCAGGTACAAGACATCAAAACAGGAATTTAAAACGAGAGGTAAATGCACTAAATAAATGCACAGCTCATACACACACGAATTCAGGATCTACCCTTCTCCAGTTTCCTCAATGTGCCCCTTCCTTTCCCTCCTCCTCCTGAACATTAGTCACTGCTCATCGCTAGGCGACGGTGGAGACGATGGAAGCAGATACCAGAGGCGCACGCGGCGCCGCCTCCCCTCCGAGGAGGTCCCAGCACAGTGGGAGGCTGGGTGCCAGATGCAGGGCACCACGCTGCAAACACACGCCGAGAGGCATTTCACATTTCACAGGTCATGATGAAAAATCTACTCTTGTACACCGATTAGAAGGTGAAAAGCACATACATACTCAAATAAAACACACGTGTTTTAAAGTAGTTACCGAAAACCATTTTCATTCACGTGGGTCTGACAGTCTCATATTATCAAATGTATTTCAAGAAGCAGAAAAGAACGATTATATTTTGCATCGACCCGACTGCAGCTTCCCGAGGAACTGCAGCTTCCCAGCGGGACTGCCTGAGCAGCCCAGTCAGAACACCACTTCACCGCGAGGCCAATAAACCACAAACAGACGAAACACAAAGCTCCTCCTGTACCCCTGAAACTTATAATCTTATTAACCAATGTCACCCAAATAGATGCAATTAAAAAACTCCTTCTCTACTTACTGGTAATGGAAAGAAGTTCGCTGCAGTGCACTCAAAGGTGCTAAGGAAATACTTACATGGGTAAGTGTGTGTGCGGCTACAGACTTTTATGCGGCTATTTAAGGCACAAGCAGATACACTTCAATTCTACAGCTGGTAACACCTGAAATCAGCAAGTATCACAACTTATTTGCTTCTCGCTTTTAAGTAGAAGTTATTTAGAAGCAGTATGACGACTTCCCTTTTGGAGGTGAGGTATTTTTTTCCTTCTTCAAGAATTGTCGTTATTTTACGGAGAAAGGTAAACCACTCACTCACTCTCCCTACAGTAGCATGTTCCTGGCTGAGTATATTTTCCTAGTCACCACTACAATATTGAACAAGAATTTTAAATGTCACACCATTCAAATTACAAAACAGTATTCTTCTAACCATGAATGTAAGGATCCAGGTATAAAAGAATATACTCTATTTTGAAAATTATATTTCAGACTATCCATAAAGCAAAAACTGGAATTTTGTTTTCTCCAAATAAGAACTACAGATTGGTAACGACTCATCCGCAACCACCTCGACCTCCGTGGAAAGAAGCGCTCACAAACGCCTCACCTCAGGTCCTGCAGAAGGTCCTTCGCGTTCAGCATGGTTATCAAAGAAGTGGTGGCCGCAGGGATGATGATGATGGGTGTTCGAGATCCTAAAAAGAAACATTTTTTAAGGTAGCAAACACGGGATCACTATGAAAAGAAATTCTAGTTACTCTCCCAATCAAAAGCTTACAAATGCATGTAGTAGTCAGTATGACCCACACACTCATGTCCGTGCACAAGTCCAGCATCGGCCCAGTTCTGTACTCTAGCGGATTCACATTTACTCTTAATCCTCACCCAAGGGCATGCTGAGAGAGGAAAAGGGAGAGGGGGGAGAAACATCCATCGGCTGCCCTGCATATGCTCCCCAGCTGGGGCTCAAACCCTGGGCCCAGGAACGTGCGCCGACCGGGATGGACTGGCTCTCTCGGTGCACGGGACAACGACCCACTCTGAGCCACTGCGCCTGGCACATTTCTCTTTAAGATGAATTTAGACTCAAATGTACAAATCTCACCTTTCTTCTGATTAGGGGGGGGTCTTGCTTGAGAAACTGTAAGAGAGAAAAATACAAAACAAATGTTTGAGTGTTATAAATATCACATTATTTTCAAGCTTAAAAAGCAAATCAAGCCTAAAATTTATTTGTAATTACATATGACTAGTTATAAAGATTTCATATGTATTACAACCTTCTCCAATAACAGTTTCTCTGCTTCACACAAACGCTGAGACGCCTTCGCCTTACTCCGCAATCCAGGCACAGGGACGTGGACACACCACAGTGGCAGGCGCTCAGTGACCACATTCGTGGATGTTAGGGGCCCACCAATGGAAGCAAATATACAATTTCTTAGTTAACTGATTGTAACACTGTAACAAAAACAAAAGCAGCACCACAGAGCATGTAACACTGGGCAAGGAGGGGCAGTGTGCTTAGCCATTTTGGAGGGAAAAGAAAGGAGTTACTGGGAACTGAGACCTAAAATATTTATCTTTTCTCTCTCTCTTTAAAATTGCTTTTTCATTCGAAGAGAACATTACAGGCAATAAGTCATATGAAGGTCTATATTATTTGCAACTGCCCATATTGTTGATAACTGTGAACTATCATAAAAACAGAAGTAGTCCTATCTTTTCATTATTTGGATGCAGTAGACTTTACAATGCACAGGAAGATCAGTTGGCGTAACATTGGTTAAGACCAGCCCGGTTCAGATGAACATGTTTTCGCACTTATCATACAATCCGACTTGACTGACTGCCCCTGTGCCATGTGCTGTGCTTGATGATCTTTTTCAGTTAGAAAAATAAAATTTAGGCAATTGTAAGTTCTAATTAAACATCAGTTCTTAGAAAGAGATTCCGTTTTAAGGGGAAGCACACCATTTTTAGGATATGTTCCACTTTATAAGTAGTAAAATGCTACATTTTAACTACTTTATACTACTGTGTATAGCTAATTCATTGTGATCAGGTATTACCAAGTCAGTACTATGATTCGTTCAGACACACAAAGCAGAAAAACATATACACAAATATAAGTTTACACACACACACACACATTTATGTAGTGTTCTCATCTTATTGCTGAGAAAAAACACCAAAACTTTCTTAAGTCCTTTTTAGAAACAGGACTCGAGGAAACATCTGATTAGATACGCCATCTGGATGACAACGCAGTCTCAGCAAATGTCAGTATTTGTCGGAGGGATAAAGGAGTGACAGGATGGACAGACAGACACATGGACAAACAGGAGACGGAGCTGCTATGAGAAGGACTAAGGAGCAAAAGGAAAAGGGCATCTTTGACTGAAATGCACTGATGAGTAAAAGCCACAATGGACTCAGGGATTTAGCAAAAGACCACTAAAATCAAGGCTAAGAAGACAAATACAAACCCTCACATGGCAAACAAAGTGTAGCAGTTTAGTAAAAAATAACTACGTAAGAATACATGAAAGTTCCCTAGTAAGGAGCAAGGCAGGGGCTGGTGAGGACCAGCTGATGACGAGTTTGACTCCCAGGGAGAGAATGGAGAGGGCGGAACAGAGGAGCCCCTGGGACAGGACAGTAAGTCTAGACTCACATGATCTCAATTCGCACCCCCTTGGGCCACTTTCCAGGCAAAGTGGCCTGGTCAGCTGAACTGACTGACGTTCAAGCGCAGGTCCCTCCGCTGACTGCCTGGCCCTAGTCTCTCTCGCTCCTTCAGTAAGTGGAGGACTGACAAGTCACAGGCTCCGAAGCAATTATTGTTGCTACATTTGATTTCAAATATAATTACATCCTTCACTTAAGTACTTATTCAGAGCCCTTGCACACGACACTGCCAGGTTCTCACTACGGTGAGGGCAGCGCACAGACAGCCCAGCCCTCAGGGACCTTCCAGGCGGCCGAGGAGCCAGGCCAGGACGCGGCACTGAGATGCACCTGACAGACAGCCCGCCCTGCAGACAGAGGCGCACAGCCGTCTTGGGGGAAGGGAAGGGACGGGATGCACGGCCGGCCAGCCAGCCGGAGCACGCGTGCATGCACAGGCACGAAGAGCGAGCGCGGGGACAGGTGTGCAGCCGCCACGGAAGAGGAGGAGCGGGGCTATGTCTGCACAGAGGCGGCGTGCCGCGGGCTGTCTCGTCTCGGCAGTGCGCTGTGCAGAAGCTGTGGCAGTGCCACGGGAAACCAGCGACGCCCGAGCCAGAAAGGGCACAATTCCGTCTCACGTCCCTCTTCTGTGGGGGCGCGCAGTGGGCTCAGACCAGGGTGGAGGGGACAGCACGGAAGCAGAGACTCAGCAAAGCGCTAACCACAGGCCGCACTGCGCTGCTGGAAGAGCCAGGGGTCATGGGTGAGTGTTTCTTAGACTTCCAATCAGCCCGGCCGGTGTGGCTCAGTGGGTGAGCGTCGGCCCTGTGCCAGGAAGCCACTGGTGTGATTCCCGGTCAGGACACATGCCCAGGTGTGGGCCCGACCCCAGTGGGGGACATGCAGGGGGCGGCCAATCAGTGATCTCTCTCATCGATGTTTCTCTCTCTCCCCTTCTCCCTTCCTCTCTCTCTAAAATCAATAAAGGAAAAAAAATAAAATAGAAACTTCAGTCCAGGGTCCACTGAACAAGCGCCATGATGATGAGCGGCTCCCAGGCGGCCAGGCCCCTGGGCGCTGGGACCGGGCCGCCCTCTGCTTCTGCATCTCGAGGGACCAGAAAGGACAGTCATGGGCTCGCACTGCAGACACGCGGATCTAGAGAACAGTGATGTCTGCACTTGAGTTGCGGGGTGGAGACAGAGAAACAGACGAATCTGGACACGGAAAACGTAATTTTGACAAAACTCCTGATGCCAGATGAGAGGCACAGCAATGTGAAGAGTGAAGAGCAGCTCCTAAGTTTCTGGCTTAGGAAGCAGAGTTGACGGCGGCGCCCTCATCCGTGAAAGAGGAAGGACGCAATGAGACGTCCAGAGGAAAGTGCTGGGGACAAGGGTCTGCATCAGTGTTAAGATGCCTGCAGCACATCCGAATGCTAGGCAGGTGCTGTGAGATGCCAGAGGCAAGAAGAGATGTCTGAACTGGAGACAGAAACATGAAGATCATCAGTACATCGATTTAAAACTATGGAATGACGTGCTCCAGCCCACACCAGGTTATGAAGCGGATGACTGGACAGTGTACGAATCCGTCTGACAGACACAGAAGGCGAACTCTCCATCCCGCACGAGCGAGAGCACAACATGAGAGCGAAGGGTCACCACACATTTCAGGAGACCCAGGAAGCGAAGTCGCAGATCGAGGCTGGAGGACTGAGTATGCATGCACACGCATGGCAGGGGGAGGGGAGGGGTGTGACACCGTCTGCCTATAAAAGGAAGGGCTAGCAAGGTCCAGGTGGTGGCTCATCAAACGCGTATGCTTCTCAGTCCACTGAAGAACATGTGCCTCATTCCAGTCCCTCCCTTTGCTTGACACATTTTTTAAAAAGGTAATTATAGAACCTTCTATGCCAAATAACACAGGCATCTGAAATCCAAAGCTGCACATCAGTCTACTAAAACGATGGTTCATCCTTCTAATGGGGGAGGGGTGCATCCACATGTCCCATCACGGAACTCAAAGCAGGAACTGGGAGGGGCTGCTACATGCTTGCCGCTTGCAGGACACCTTCCTAACATCTTAAAGTCATCTTCTTTAAACTCTTCTTCAGCTCTTCAACTGAATTTATTGTCAGTGTTCCTATGACATCATTGGGGAAAGAACGATGTGCGCTTACCTGGCCGGGGCACCGGCTGTGCTGCGGGGGTCTGCGTCTTCCGGGCCGAGGCGCCCTCCTTTAAAAGAATAAAACATGACAGCTGCCATCACAGTTTCTTTACGTAATAAGCACTTTCCTTTAATTACTGCAGACAAACTCATCCATTTGTCTCTCAATCAGTCACCCACCGAACATGCTATCATCCTAGCAGTTCAAAAAAAGAAAAAACACCTGTCCTTATTTTTTATGCTATTGGTCATGAGGTACAAGTAGAAATCTTAAGTGGGAAATAAATTTAAAACTGTTACCATACAGTAGTTATCTATGATCGTGTAGTATTTATCAAATACTCAATGATTTGCTTAATTGCTGACAATTTTAACATCTCAGAAATATCATTATGGGCTTTTAAATCAAGTCAACCTTTTTTCCCTTAAACAGTCTCAAAATGAATAATACATAACCTCATGTTAGAAAGATGTAAACAATGTTACTTTGCACTAAAAACCACAATCACTTCATATTAAATGCTTTTAAAATATTTAGGGAAAATAAAATAATCCCATTTTAAAAAGATGTGATTTGTTATATTTAAGTGTGGCTGAAAGATCTTAAAAACTGAATAACAAATCTCAACTAATTACTAAGCATGTGCTATATACAAGAAAATATGCTACGGGTTGAATTTTATCAATTATTTACTCAGGAGTAGATGACTGAAATACTTAAAGACACTTAAAAAGTTGTCTATCTTGCCCTGGCCGGTTTGGCTCAGCGGTTGGAGTGCCGGCCTGCGGTACAGAGAGACCCGGGTTCGGTTCCCGCTAAGGGCACGTACCTCGGTTGCAGTTTGTCCCCGGCCCTGGTTGGTCGTGCGGGTGGCAGCCACTCGATGTGTCCCTTCACATCGATGTTTCTCTCTCTCTCTCTTCCTTTCTCTCCCTCCCGCTCTATCTGAACAAAAAATGGAAAAATGTCCTCGGGTGAGGATAAAAAAAAAAAAAAAAAGTTGTGTATCTTTAGTGCATTAGTTCAATCATATTCACAGTAAAATTTTCATTAAAACATTTTCCTTTAAAGAATTTTTTTAAAGTTTGTGATAACAACATGTACTTCAATCTGATACACCAGGAGACTGATGAAGGAAACCAGACACCGGCCTCACACACACTCACGGTGGATGATCACAGACCCCAGGCGGGCGGGCGCTGTGTGGCGGTTCCTGAGAGTGGGCATCGCTGCCCAGGCAACGGGATTTTTCAAACTGGCAAACGACCGGCCAGGTTCAGAGGGAAGTGCAGTGCACTCTTCCCTCCATGCACACTGCAGTTCATTCCTGCGAAGTCCAGTGCATGCTTAAAACTTATAAAACAGACTTTGTATTCCAATCATGGTTTGGGTTTATCTGATTACAAAGGCCTTCGCCCACACACAGGCATCCACCCAGAGTCTGCAGAACACAGAACTACCTTCGCTGTTCACACTGCCCCACTCAGCACACACTACCTTCCGAGGCCCCACTCACTGAGGGACCGTCAATGTACACTTCCAGAACACCTCCTAGGAAGGAGTCTCACCCCCAGTACCACCCTCTAACCAAAAGCACCCCCTGGTACGCACCAAATAACAACTAAAAGACTCTAGCTGGTTTGTGCTCAGCTGAAACAGCTATGCTACTGAGAAACCACACAGCTTACACTATCAGAGTGTGTGCGAAATGACTGCTGACTTTAAATGCTGAGTCTCCCTTAGGACCATGAACAGTTCCTGTGCACTGAAGCAGATGAAGGTGTCCACCACTAGTTCTGGAAGAGACCCTTAAACTTAGCACGTCTACTGCCTGCCGCACGGGGTGCTGAGAAGCGAGGGGAGGCGGGCGGCACCTGGCCCGTCACTCTGAGTGCTGGTGTGCACCTGGCTAATCCCTGCTTTGTGAGCTCAACGAAACCAGAAACTGGTTCATCAGTCATCTATCTGGAAAGAGAAATTCTAAACTCTTAATGGACAATAATTTTTCTTAACCAAAAATTATGCCACTCATTCATCCAAATCTTTTAATGTAATGAAAAAGAGTTCATCTCATTTTAAGTCAAAACATTCAAGAAATATAAACCCCAAGCAAAATTGTTGATCGATCGCAATAAAACTGAAGTTGACCTCTAAGTGTCTGTGTCCACGGCATCCTCAGAGTCCTGTGGGGAGCACGTCGAGTCTGAATCAGTGGGGTTGGCTGTCTCTTCGGCCGAGCTGCAACGGACCACACTGCGCGCACCACACTGCGCCCCCCACCACACTGCGCCCCCGCACCACACTGCGCCCCCCACCACACTGCGCTTCTGGGGCAGCTAGTCCACTGAAGCACAGGCAGGAAGGGAGGGCAGGGCGGGAGCCAGGCTCACCCTCCCGGTCACAGCGCTCGAGGACACTGCTCCTTCTCCCGGGAGGGTCACCACAGGGCTGACGTGCTCTGCCCACACCCCCCCTCCCTCCTTCTTCCCACCAAGGGCATTTCGCTGAATTTATCTAGACAGACAGACAGACAACATAAGTCCATGAAATGACTTGTCTTTACTATCAAATAACGAGCAAATCTATACCTGATTCATCATGTAATGATCACTCAACAACTATTAACTACCTGAGTAAAGTAATTACTTCTATACCCAGGAGAAACTAAGAGCCAGGAGGTGAGGATATGAATACAGGCAACTCATTTACAGTGGGACAGAAAGCGTGAGGAGGGGACACTCACTCACTACACCCACAGCCATCTGCTGCCACCCCATCTCTGCTCTCTCCAGGGGACGTGCCCCCGACCCCTTCCCTGCAAAGTCCTGTCCTTCCTCATGGCGCTCATGTCCCAAACCGCAATTCTTCTGCCGTTCCAGAATAAACTCATTTCTGCGAGTAGAACAACTGGCTGTTTTATTTTTAAAGCTGACAGGCATCGCGAGCCTGTCTTTAAGCTCTGACTCCCTGGGGCTCTTCTCGACAGGCCCAGGAAAACCCTAAACCAACTGGGATGGTTCTGGCCACCACACTGGAAACGACCACCTATTTTCCCATCAGAGACAAGTTACAGATTAAAAAGCAGACCGATGCAAGTGAAAATTACAAGATAGTTGTAAGTAAGTATAACACTTAACAAAATAACTGCCAGTTTGCTGAGCCTGACAAAAAAACTTGTCACATTTACTGAGAAAGTTTAACCATAGAATTCAGATGTTAAAAGAAACTCGACTAAAGAGAGAACTTCTACAAGCGTACCTGTCATAAGATTTTTACAGGTTCTCTTGGCTGGAAACATGAAGGTTGCTAGGAAAAGTCACTAAGGGACTTTTCTCTCGTCCCGCGGTTTTCCCCACCAGCGTAGCTCCGACCGGGAAGCAGAAGGCAGGTGTGCCTGAGCCTGGAGGCACCTCTTCACTGCTTTCCGGGGCCTCCCTCCGTGTGCGCATGCTGCGAATTTGGGGCTCCGGACAAGACTGAAGGTTCCCAACTGGCCCACAGGCTACCTCGGGAGCTCTCTTAATAATGAAAATCCAAAGTAAGTGCAGTGGGACATCAAAAAAAAAGTCTAATCAAAAGAACTGGCAAAAATAGAATTCTTAGCCTTCCTGGAGAAGGGGCAGAGAATGGGGCTAACCCATCTTTGTACCCCTAACATTTCATAAGCTGTGACTGACTGCAAATGTTGGCCCAGAGTAGTTGATCGATATGTATTTGTTGAACAGATGAATGAGGTAAAACTGCAAACACCCACTGACATGTTTATGACCGACATGGACATGCTGTCCCAGGAGCAGAAAGTGCCGCCACCTGTCCAGCAGGGCCATGGCGCACAATGCGAAGAACAGGGCGTGCATGAGGACTTGGTCTTGTTCTCATTCCCAGCTGGTCCCCGTCACTACTCAGCTACTATTTAGAATAGTTATTTTACAATGCTAGGCATGGTTCCTCATCTTCAATGGGTATTACAATGAAACTATTATAAGCAAAAACAGTCATGTATGGAGCATCTCAGGCAGCACCCACTGACTCTGGGTTAGCAATCGATAGGTCAGCGCTACCAGTTGCACGATAAATATGATCTACTTAAAATCAACTTCTACCTTTGTAAAGTACATTATTTTAAGTAGGCACTTAAGCATTACTCTGCTACCCAAATTAAACAAACAAATGAGTAGTGAGCATGCAGCATGGGCGGACAGAAGGGCCAAACGCAAAAACACCAGGCTCAGCCCTGGCCGGTGTAACCCATTGTCCTGTGCACCGAAAGGTCGCTGGTTCGATTCCTGGTCAAGGCACACGCCAGGGTTGCTGGCTCAATCCCCGGTGGGGTGGTGCAGGATGGTTCTCTCTCCCCCACCCCTTCCTCTATCTCTAAAAATCAATTTAAAAATATTTTAAAAAAAACAAACAAAAACCCAGGTTTGGTTCTCTCCTTCATTTAGAGAATCATGGAAGCCAAAGCTCTTGATGTTGGGTTTCCCATTTACAAAGTGCTTCATGTTCCTCCTAACATTTCTAGGAAAGTCATATACACGTCAAATGCAATGGACAAAAATTAAAAACATTAGAGGGCCTGGTGCTAAATCTAAAGTTAACATGAGCCTCCAGTTGGCTGGCGCAGGAAATGAAATCAAATTCACCCAGAGGACTGTCCTGGGCCCTGCACACTGAGGGCTCAGGCACAGAGGGGGCTGCGGGGACTGTGGGGACAAGGCTGTGCATAGCAGCATGCTTCCCAGTGGGCGGTGCCTGTGACTGCTGGTCAGAGGACGCGGTCAGAGGACGCAGCCTACAGCACTTGTTTGGAACAAAGGTTTCAAGGGAGATTGACATTCTTGGTTTTGAATCAATGAGTTTGATCAGGTGGTCTTTTCCACTTTGCCACACCCTTGGCCCTCAATTTCTGCTCCTCTGCTACCTTGTAAAGGCTGATAAAGGGGGACAGTTTCAGCCTCCAGATCAAATGCTGGTGGAAGCAATGTTTCCAAACTGCATCTTGTTGCTGAAACTTCCTGAGCTGGAAAAGTTACCCCAATAGGTGACAGAAGAGAAAGAAACAGACAA